GGTGCAGGGGGTGGTTCCTCCCCAGGTTTACCTCTGATGTTTAGCATGACTCTCTTACTCTTCATGTTGATGTTGTTTTCTTCTTTCCCATTCCAGCTTCCTTTCCTCTGGGGACTTTGCCTGCATGGCAATCTGTTCCAGCAGCTACTCCACCATCATGGCATTCTGCTTCCTGGAAGAGCTGCAGTGGGAGTTTGCTGCTTCCTACGACCCAACGAGCATCGGCCTGGCCTCCAGACCATATGCCTTCCTGGAATTTGGTCTGTACCTTTGTTCTCTGACAGGAAGAGTTCTGGGTCTGCTTTTGATGCTAAGCAATGTCTCCTGGCCAAAGCTTGGTCACAAAAATGTATCTGTGGGTGAGCCTCTGGATTCATGGGCAGGAGATCTCAAAACTCAGTGGAGTCATGGAATCATGTAGGCTGGAAAAGACCTTCAGGGTCATCAAGTCCAACCACTAACCCAAGTCTGCCAAGCCCACTGACAAAAATAAATATGCCAATCTTAGCCTTTTACCTGGTATTACAGATAGTTGTAGCAGGCTGACTTAAGGTCAAATAGAGGATTTGTCACTGTGGAGTGCTTATGGCACTCTGTGTTCTAGCACAGCACAAAATCCTCCTGCTCAAAACTTAAGCTACTACATAAGTGTCCTGTCAGTAGTAGCTGTGCTCAACCTACACAAATCTTCTAGAGTAACAGCATCTTAAGGATGTGGATTTTCCTTATAGGATATCTTAGCAAAATAAATCTTTCTGCATTGGATTTCCCTAAGTGTTTGAACTTGCTAATATCTTTGCACAATTAAAGAGGAAAGAGCAGCATCCACAGTGAGGTGCTTCAGCCCTGGAGGCCTGAGCAATTCCTCCTGGGACAAATTCTCTGCTTAATTTCAGTGCAGGCACGTTTGTGGAAGGGGATTTGCTTGCAAACAGCATCCCATGGAAAGGGTGAGAGATGAGACAGAGTGATCTGGACATAGATCTGTGGCTGGGTTGCTGATGGAATCACTGTGGAATTGCCTCTGCCCATCACAGTCACTTCATGACTCAAATATAGTTTGAATTCATTTATCACTGTGCTGGAAAAAAAATGATCCTTGATGTTCTGGCAACACAGATTTGTTTGCTATGATTTGATTGCTAATTACCAAAGGCACTTAACTTTTGCAGAGCTAATTGAAGCGTGGCTTTATATAATTTCAGACAAGGTTATTCAGAAGGTGAAATGCCATTTCAACTGCACGAGTGGCTCTCAGACAAAGGCCAGCTGGGAGAAGGTTGAGGAGGAGCTGAAGTTCCAGCCCCCCATACAGCTGAAGCTGGAGGACATGGAGCTGATGAATGGGATGACCAATGGGGGGCATGCAGCTGTTCATGTGGAGGTTGGTAAGTTACTCCTACACTCAGGTGACACTAGACCTCCTGAACTTTGCCAACCACAGAAGACCATGTAACAGCAGGGGTTCCTTTCACAGGGAGAGATAGATACATCAGGTGTAAGAAACCCAAGGAAAAACCTGCCCTTCTGTCATAGGAAACAACATGTGGTCTTTAGATTATACCAGGCATGTGTCAGAGCCTTTGAGGGCTTCTCTTCCAGCCTTTGATCAGCTCCTCTATATGGACAACTGGTTGTAACTGGACTTGGCTTTTTCCACCTTAAGTTTTCCTGCTTTTAAAGCAGTTGCTTGTTCAATTTTCTATGATAAAAGAAGTTCCACTAATTCCTTGCTGGTTGCAAACTCCAGGTCAGGCTGGATGGTACTTTCAGCACCCTGCTCTAGCTGCAGATGTCCCTGCTCAGTGCAGGGGGGTTGGACTGGATGACCTTGAAAGGTCCCATCCAAACCACCCTGTGATTCTAAAAGATGTAGTTGCAGTCTGAATGAGTTGCTTCAGCTTTGAGGAAAGAAGAGATGAGAAGAATATGAGCTGAGGGTCAAACTCATTCCCAGACTGTTTCTCTTGGCTTGTTGTCCCCTCTTTGCTTTCACCTTTTCCCTTGTTCTTCAGAATTTTAATGCATTTGCCTAAAATTCTGAAATGTCTGTATAACCACTCAACCATACCCCTACTTTAATTAGTGTTAGCATGGTGATTTAATTGCAGCTGGAGTGCCATGAACTTGTATTTCCTCCTTCCTTATTGTTCTTGGCTTATGAAACACTAATAAAATCAAGTTCCAGTCGCTCAGTCTTATTGTTTCTGATGGATGAGCTGGAATCTAATTTGACAGAGATATTTGAAGTTAAAATAAAGAGGGGCAGTGGCCAGCAGGAAGGAAAAATAGACTTGAAGACACTTCATTTGCCAGTCAGATTATTGAGTGCTCCACAGGACTGAGCTTGAAGGTGAAATATCCTCATGGTGTGCCAGGACTTGGAAATCCTTTGCAGTGGTGTGAACATTTGCCAGTGAACCTGTGTCCACACATCAGAAATATATTTTCAGTTCCCCCATATTCTTAATTGCCTTTTTTTTTTCTTCCACTTTCTATCTGGCTTTGTGTTGCTGCCTGTTCTCTCTGATCTAACCCAAATACTCTCACAGATTGTTCTGCCTTTATTTTAAGGCTGAGGTTTGGGCTCATCTGTTTCCCTCAGCTGGAGTCAGCTTTCCTGGCTTACATCTCTCTCCTCTCACCGTTTCCCACCAGCTGAATCCCACTTTGCTGCTCTAAGTTTAGCTGTGTGGACAGTGTTTGTTCCCATAGGGCTGTTATTTATATCGTGGCTCTGCTGCAGAGGAGGCTTCTTCAGCATACCTGGGAGTGCTACTGTTGCAGGAGAGCAGGATTTTGGATTGATCAAAGCATCAGTCTCCTTATGTGGTTTGAGCTCTCACCTTTTGAGCAGTGTGCTCACATCCCCTGGCTCTTCTTTTTAGTGTGAAAGGAGCTTGAAAAGTCAGGGCAGCTTTGCCCTTATTAGTCCATATGGGAACAAGAGCTGTATTTTTCTTCCTTTTTTAAAATTTTTTAATTCTTTCTGTTGTTTGTTCCTTCCTTTGTTAACTAAACCCAGCCCAGCTCGTGTTAGAAAGCCACCATCACTGTGTCCTTGATCAGCACTGTCAAGGGTATCACCAGACAGCACAGATGCTCTCTGTTAACCCCTCTCCCTGCCCAAAGGGAAGAGAAAGGGAATAAGGGAGAGACTTATGGGTTGGCAAAGAAAACCAAAACACCTTTAATGAAGCAGTAACAGTAAAATAATGACATATATGCAGGTATCAAAGCCAGCCTCCCTGCTGGCAGCTGTGTCACCAGCACTGATGGTGCTGTGGAGCAGGCACAGGGCAAGTCCCAGGCTGGACTTGGTGGCAGATGGGAACCAGCTTCAGGAACTGGAACAGAGTCCTCCTTGGACGTTAGCCATTGAAGAAGAGAGAACTTGGACCCTTGTGATCCTCAGCAGCTTTATCCCCAATATGCTGTATGTGGATGGAGTCCCTCACTGGTCAGTTTGGGGTCTGTCCTGTCTGCTCCTCCCCTCAGCTGCACCCCAACGTGGTGCACAAGATTGGGCAGTGACCTTGGTGTGAGCAAGTGTAAGCAGGAGCTTTCTGCACAGCCCAGCCCTTGGCAGTAACCCTGAACATCCAGTGTTGTCCCTGCCAGAAGCAGACACTGTGGGAATCTGCTGTTAACTTCAGATCAGCAGGTTTTCAGAGCTGAAAAGTAAAATCACTGAGCAGAGTTAGTTCTGTTCTAGCTCAGACCAGGACAAACATCTACAGAGCCTCAGCCCTTGCCAAATCCATCCTCACCTTGTGCCCCAGTGTGGGCACAGCTGATAAAGCTCCAGAGGACAGAAGGAAGATGATTTTCTGGCCTCTGCTCAGAAAATCCTTTGGAGGCAGAAGTTTTGGTTTCTTCCTCATGTGAGGGTGTTTTTGCAGAGTTGTTCTCTACACATTCAAACTTGCAGGTGCATTTTTCTCCATGCTGGATGAGCCACAGGCCCCACAGCCCACCCCACATGGTTCTTGCACTCTGAAGCACACACTTCTCTTCTCAAGGAGTCAAATCAATTTAGATCCCAATTAGCATTTAATCATGCTTGTACAAAATTGTGCTATCTTGGACTAAGAGTGCTTGTACTCTTTTTTTTTCTCCTTATTTAATGTAATAAACATTTCTAGTATGAAATTCTGTTTATAAAAACATGATTGAATTCCCCCAGTGAAGTGTAACAAGGTGGCCAGGGTCCTGCCACCCTCACTGTAAAAAATATCTTCTTTCTATCTAGTCTAAATCTCCCTCTTTTAGTTTAAAACCATCCCCCCTTGTCCTTCTGGAACAGGCCCTGTTCAAAAGTCTGTCCCCACCCTCCTTAGGCTCCCTGTAGGTCTTGAGAGGCTGCAGTGAGGTTTCTCCAAGCTGAAGAGCACTTCCCTGGGCTCTGGGAACTCTGGACACGTAGAGTCTGCAGGATGCTGTACAAAGAATTGACACTTGGGCCCTGATAATTTTTCAGTGTGAGAGACACTGAGTGCTTCTGAACTAAACCTCAGCAAGTGAGGAAGTCATCTGTGTCAGGAAACTTCCCTGAGGGAGACACACACAGCTACAGCATGATTTAATTTGTCAAAAATGGGAAACTGAGCAGTCAGGTCAGTGAAAACCTGGTGGGACAGCTTCTGTTACAGAAGCCCCTTCACCTTTGAGTGACTGGCACCATTCATTTCCATGCACATCTGTGTGACAATAACATACAGTAGTGCCACATACTGTGGAATTAACACAGCTGGATTTATTTTTTGGATATTATTATTTTGGAGGTGAAATGAGGGAGGTGTGAGTGCATGCCAGACTAATTAATTACACAGACACAGAACAAATGCTTTATAGCCCTCTGTTTCTTTGGCAGCAAGGTATTTTCTTTTACATCCAGCTATCAAAATCTCTCCTGAAGGAGAAGACACAGATGTTTTCCTCTCTTGAACCATGCAGCACTACAGTATTTCATCAGATTTTAATCAATATTTGAATGCAGATGACCTCTGCTGTGTTGCTTGGTGTACCTACATCAGTCAGGAGCTGGGTCTGTCTCTACAGGAGGCAGAAGGTGAAGGGAGGTTTCTTGAGGGCTTGTTCATTTATGAATTTTGGTGTAGGGGAGGATCTGGGTTTGGTATCTGAGCTGCAAATTACTGTTGTTGTGCTGCCACTGTTCTGCTTGTGATGATCTGAGGGCAGGGTTGAGAAGTAGGTGAGTATCTAGGTGTGGTGGCTATTGTTGGGCTAACTAGTGGAGGTAGGGAACAAAAAAAAAAAGGTGGGTCTTGGGACAACCAAAACCCTGAATTAGAAGTGGCATATTCTGAAGTTAATGCCACATAATAATTGCTCTGACCTTAATTAGGTAGGTATCAATTAGATCATCCTGAAGAAGTGATGTTGAGCAGTGTGGGTGTTAAGCAGCAGTGCAGAAGGTGAGGAGGGAAGGAGACAAAACTCACTGCCTGGGAGAAGGGGGATTGTAATGCACTGTAAAATGTGGCTCTTGGCCCCAAACTGTAGCAGCCAGTCTGATTCCTGGGCCCCATTTCTGACTGTGTTCTGTCAGTCTGAGAGGCACAAGCAGCAGTTCTGTGACAGCCATTTCTGCCACTGGTTGGTACCATCCTGACAACTACAGCTCTCCCAGCAGCAGAGCATCAAAGCCCTTGGCTCCTACACTTGGGTTCTGGCAACTGCTTGGTTAGGGCCCCACAGGGGATGTGGAAACTGTGGGTGAAAGTGAGTTGCTGTGCAGGAGAACCTTCCAAGTGTCAGTGGGAAGCAGTCAGTTTTCTGCTGACCTGTAGAGAGTGCTAAGTGTGAAATAAACAGGTGAGAAACATCTACCTGCTCCATAAAAAAGGACATTAATACTAAATAGCTCAAGAAGAAATTCTGCTGCTTAATCTGATTAAAAATGCTGCAGAGCTCTTGGTGGTTCTTAGATCTCTGAGGAACAGAACAGTGGAACACACCAAAAAAATGGTGTTTTATTCAGTGTCTTCTCTGGAGCAAGCATGAAAGGTTTTCAGAGAATCATTAAGGCTGGAAAAGACCTCTAAGATCATCAGGTCCAACCATCAAAAGGTTTTGAAGAGGTTTAAAAGCCACATAAGGTAACTTGAGTCCCTTTAATAGTGCAAACTTTCACTAATGTCTTTTTAAATCTCTCTTTGAATCTTTGAAGTCCCCACTTACCGACTGCAGCCTGTGACTCCCCTGGGGATTCTGTCTCTTGTCCTGAACATCATGTGTGGAGCTTTGAATCTCATCCGAGGAGTCCACCTAGCAGAGCACTCATTTCAGGTAACCCTGATTGCACTGACACCTGTAAAAGAGGCAAAAAGGGGGAGAGAATTAGCTGGGTAACCACATTTTGGGTGGCTGTTCTGCTTCTTAGTAGAGCAGACATCTCCCAGATGTGTTTGGGTTGTGCACAACTGGCTCCTCACCTGCTTGACCTCAGGTGCTTTGTTGTCTCTCTCAGCATGTTGCATTTTATTCCTTTCTAGAGAGATTAAACCTGGGAGAAATATTTTAGTCTTACCAACGTGGCTGGATGGTTTATTTTTGTGCTTTCTTGCCTTTTGTTCTAGATGCTTTTGTGTGAAATTGTTTTTAACCAAAAGTGAAACTGTAAACAACATTTTAAAAAGGAAAAAAAATAACCCCCTCTCCTGATTATATGGAGGCAGAGTTTTATTTAGCAGGAGTTATCACATGAGCCTCAGTTCTTGGGATCTTGTTCAGTGATATTGATCTTGCTGTTTAGTGCTGTTACAGCCAATCAACAGAAACTAGGATGAGAGGTACTTGAGGAAATAGTGTTCTGAAATACCAAGCAGTTCTTCCTAAAACCTGCAGCTGATGGAGCTGCTTTTGCTTGTACCTGATGTTGCTTCTTTTATTCCAAACAGGAGGACCATGAAGGCATTGGAAATGTGATTGCTTTTTTCCTACCTTTTCTAGCCTGTGTTTTCCAGGTATGTTGGCTGCAAATAAAATGCTTTCTGATTTTTTTTATGTTATAACATAGAAGACAAAATAATTTTAGCTAAGCAGAACAGTTTGGGAGTAAACTGAAATATTCCAGTGAAGAGGCACAGATACAGTTGAAGGGACATTTGACCCATGGCAAACTGCAGGGACAAGATGTTTTCAGTGCTTTCCTGTTTTGACCTGCCACACAGGGCTGAGCATGGTACAAAAGTGCCAGCCCAAAGCTGGTGTGTTTCCCCAGGGGCCAGGCATGATGTCTAGTGGCAGATTTCTGATGGGATTTTGCAGCATAACCACCCTGAAAGACTTAAGCAAACAACAGGAGAGCATATTATGTACTCCAAATGGATTCTTGAAAGGTTCCTTGAATGCCTAAACCAGTGGTCCACAACATTCAACCTGAGGGCAAGGTGCTGTTAGCAAAATCTTCACTTTTCAGCCTGTCCTGGCAGGAGGCTGCTGTGGTTGGGTCACTCGTTGACAGGAGGAATCACATAATGCCTCCAGGGTGTTCCTGTTGGATTTGGCTCATGGTTTGGGGACTACTCTCTGAAGACAATTTATCTGTTGTCTTTAAAACTTGCAGGGAGGCTATTTCATGTATCATAACAGATAAATTCAGCATCTTTCAGCCTTCTTACACCTCTGCTCACAGCAGAGCTTTGAATTTAGATCTAAATTCTTGATGCAAATCATTCTTTACAAAGAAAAGCTCTGTCCTGCTTTGTTCCAGTCAGTACCTGAAGTGAGAGAAGCTAAATAAAGAAGAGTTCTCTCTTATCCTTTTGATCTACAGCAGTCATCTTCTCAGAATGCTTGTGCATAAATGGAGCTCAAATGTGAAGTGCTTTCTGCATGCTGATCTCTGCTTGTGTCATCAGCACAGTTGGGAACTAACCTGAAGTGTTACTGCCTGAGTTAAAAAAGTAACTCTGCTGCCAGCACTTTGAGAGTTTTTAGTTTTCTCTGGTAGGGGTTGTTGCTCCTCACACTTGCTTAGCAAATGGGTTCCACCTGTTCTTGAATTCAGACTGGAAAAGAGCCCTAAATCCCAGCTAAGCCTGCTGACAGAAGTGACCTGGTAGAAGAACCACCACATCTAAACAATGAGGCCCTTTGCTCATCCCAAGAACAGACCTGGCAGAAGCAGGTTGAGTTTGCTGCTTCTCAGCCTCTGGCAAAGGTTGTAGGTGCTTTTTGAAAGCTGGTTCAGCTTTCAGACTCCTTTTAATCCAGGCTGGGACAGGCAGGAGGGACACCAGTTGTGCTGGCAGACTTCTTAGGATATCCATGTTTACTCAGTAGGATCTGGGTTGGGGCCACTGCTCCAGCTCTTTGTGGAAGATCTCTCAACACAGGAGTTGGAGGGAAGCTTGGAGCTTCTTGGTGATTGCTGCAGTGGCAGCACAGCCAGGTGGTGTGGGTTTTCCTACAAGGAAGGCTGAGAGCCCTGGGGCTGTTCAGCGGGAGAAGCCTCAGAGGGGATCTGAGCAGTGCTGAGCAAGAGCTAAAGGGCCCCGGGGGGCAAGAGGCTGGGGCCAGACTCTGCTCAGTGGTGCCCAGGGACAGGCCAAGGGGCAACGGGCACCAACTGGAACCCAGGAGGTGCCACCTGAGCAGGAGGAGAAACTTGTTTGGGGTGAGGGTGCAGAGCCTGGAGCAGCTGCCCAGAGAGGCTGTGGAGTCTCCTGCTCTGGAGAGATCCCAAACCCTCCTGGCTGTGACCCTGGGCACCCTGCTGGGGGTGAGCTGCTGGAGCAGGGGGTGGGATGAGATGATCCCCAGAGGTCCCTCCCAACCCCAGCAGTCTGTATTAAACTGTGTGCCAGCCACCCCCAGCTCTGTCTCCTGCCTGTATGGACACAGTTTAATGCTAACACTGTCTCTGCTCCTTTTGTAGTGTTATTTGTACCTCTTCTACAGCTCAGCAAGGAAGGTGAAGACGTTTGTGCTCTTCTGCTGTGTTTGTTTATGCAACATCTACTTGTATGGATTGAGGAACCTCTGGCAAATAGCCTTTCACCTGGGAGTGGCAGCTCTTTCTTCTTACCAGATACTGACAAGGCAACTTGTGGAGAAACAGCCTGACTGTGGAGTATGAGGAAGACTTTGGGTTTGCTACTCTCTTTTTTACAACCTTTTTTTTTGTATTAAACTAGCCAAAAATAGCTTGGGGTATTTAAAAAACAAATTGTGACAACAGCTATGGTGAGGAGGATATTCCAAAGCAGCTTGAAAGAAAGTAGGGTGCTGTAATGGTGTCAAGCAGAGAGTGAGGCACGTGGCTGTGTGTGCTGGCAGATCTTGTCAGCTGTCCTCAACAGATGGAGGTTCTCCTTGCCATAAAGAGGCTTTTACTCCTTGGCTGACACCATCTGGGCAGCCCTTTGCCATTGGTCTTACTGGCTTTGTAGCAGCTTGGCAGGTCCATGTCTTTCCTGCTCTGCCAGTGCTCCTGAAAATAGCAGAATTGTGAAGTGAAGATAAAATGGGGGTGACCTTTTTGTCTATGGAGTGTGTTAAATGTTCAGATTCTTGGTAAATGGAAGGAAAGGAGTTTGTCATACTTAGGTGAGTTCAATATCAGGGGGAGTCATTGTTAGGATGAGCTTCAGGGTGATTTTTTTGGGTTTTGAAGGAAAGGAGAAGGCTGTGGCTCTGTTGAAAACCATCAAGACTATAAATATCTCCTGGTTCAACAGCACATTGCAGCTCAGTCTGTGCTCATTGGTTAATTGCAAATATTGGGGCAGCATCAAATAAACCACGTGCACAGAAGTGATCTTCCAGCTCAAGGGGCTTTTATTTCCTTGGTTGAGGTCACTCTTAGTGGAATGGTAATTCCATGTTTGGTTGGTCTCCAGGGATAATAAATCCTCCAAGCTTACTTATGACAGGCCACTGACTCCTTCACCTTTTAAAACAACAAAAAAGGAGGTGTAGCTGGGGAGTAGAAATCCATTTCCAGTGATGGAAGGCAAGAGCAGGTTCTCTTCATTCTATAAAACACCTTCAGTTAATGGTGTTCTTACATTAAGGTGAATTTATGAGTCTGCACTTTGGAACACAGCACTCCAGAGCTGAAATTCAGAACCTCTGCTGCACTGGGTGTTCTTCTCCATCACCTACTGAGGTGCACGTGGGCATTTTAGAACAGGTAGGAATAATTTAGGCTGGCTGGTTACAAAGCTGCCTAGGATTTTGATGCAGCTGGCCTTGAAGGGTTGTGGAGACTCAGAGTGAGGTGATGTAGAGAGCTGTAGGTGTTTTAGTGTGGCAGTATGGTTCTAGATTTCCTTCTGTATTTTTTTTGTTCTTTGGACACTGTTTTCTGGTCTCTCCATTTCCTCCACCAGCCAGCTCTGACCAAAGATTTATTTCCCTCTCCCATAGTCTCTACCTCTTGTAGCTGCAAAGGGATTAACACAATGCAGAGCTGCCAACCTAAGTCAGCAGAATTACTTCACCAAAGTACTTCCTGGCATCTCAGTGAATTTTCCTGGAAGCTCATGATGCAGACAGGACTGTCAGTGCCCTCCTAGGCCAGCCACGTGTGGTGCTGTGCCTTGGGAGCTCTTGGGATGCAGCTGACTGCCACAAGGACATGGGTGGGCAGCACAGTACAACCCAAATGGCTTGTAGGACATCAAGTGCCAGAGATTTTTCCAGTAGGAAAATAGGTATTTCTTTTCCATCCCATATTAGCCTATTTACTATAACAGCAACATCATGAAATCATAGGAATGTAACAAAAAACACAAGGGAAAAAGGGTGGCAGAGCCTGGAGCAGCTGCCCAGAGAGGCTGTGGAGTCTCCTGCTCTGGAGAGATCCCAAACCCTCCTGGCTGTGACCCTGGGTGACCCTGCTGGGGGTGAGCTGCTGGAGCAGGGGTGGGATGAGATGATCTCCAGAGGTCCCTCCCAACCCCACCACGCTGGAATACTCCAGGAGGGATGGAGGAATGTTTCAGCCCCCCAGTGCAGGAAAGCTCTAGAGCTGTGTGCCCTCAGGGAATGCTCTTCTCTTCTAAGGGAGAGGCTTGAAATTGTCTCTCTGTCATTCCCTCAGTTTTCTGCCAGAGGGTAGAGGGAGAAGGAAGCCACAATTCAACCACTGTCCTGAAGACACCCAGCTGACCCCCCAGATGCTGGGGGTTTAGTGCTGACAAGCTTTATGTTTCCACACTGCTCAGTCCCTGTTCAGCTTGGAGAGAAGACCCAGGTCCCACCCTTGTGGCCTCCACCTGAAGAACTTGGTTGCACCTCCTTGGTTGGTGCTTTGTGGATCAGATGGAGGATGCTACTAGAGCTTCTCCACTGAATGACCCAACCTCTGCTCTGCTGTTAATCCCTTTGCAAGGTTTCCCCTCCCTTCTATAATATTTTTAAACCATCTTAAGGAATCTTTGTGGACTGATCCCTGTGCATGAACACCTGCACACTGAGATAGTGGCTCAGGGATGAGGCAGAGCACATGTTCCACCTCTTTTATTACTCTTAATGTTACCATTTTGAAGGGCTCCTCTGGCTGTGTGGTATTTATACAGTGAAACTTTCCCTTGAATAGTTTACACTGATCTCAGTGCTTGAAGATTTAATAAAAAAGAATGACTTGTCTCTGAAACCTGCCTCAGAACGTGGGATTATGGCTGGGTTGAATCAAATCCCCAAACTGGAATCCATCCCTTTTTGTTCAGCTTTAAACTGCTTAATGTAGTTTGAATTGTCTCTTCTTAATTCTGTCCCTTTTCCCAGATAAAGCTTTTTTGGAAATTCTTCTCCTCACCCAGCAGCTCAGCAGAAGAAAATTGGCAAAGAATAAACTTCATTAACTTAAAGATTTGCAGTGCTTACTCACTTGATGAAGCTGATCATTTTTTCCTGTGGGTTTTGGGGTTTTTTTTCTTTCTCCCAAAGACCTGTGAAGTTTGTAGACCGTGGGCTGGTTCCTTTTTAGACATTTTTTTGCACTGTATTAATAATTGAACCTGTGTAAATGTGTATAAAATCATTTTGCATGTGGATGTATATATGTACATATGCCTAATAAATGGTGCTTTTTATAATGGTTGTCTTCATTTAGAGCTTGAAAATAGCTGATTAGATGAGAAACAATATAGATATATATATATATGTTAGAAATATGGTTATGAATGTATTGTAGGAGGCCTACAAGAAAGCTGGAGAAGGACTTTTTACAAGGGCTTGTAGTGACAGGGTGAGGGGTGATGGCTTCAAATTGGAAAAAAGATTTAGATGAGATATAAGGAAGAGATTTTTCACTCTGAGGGTGGTGAGACACTGGCACAGGTTGCCCAGGGAAGCTGTGGATGCTCCATCCCTGCAGGTGTTCAAGGCCAGGCTGGATGGGGCTTGGAGCAACCTGCTCTAGTGGGAGGTGTCCTGCCCATGGCAGGGGGTTGGAACTGGATGAGCTTTAAGATCCCTTCCAACCCAACCCATTCTTTGGCTCTATACAGAAACAGGATAATAGCTTTAACTTTAACTTGCTCTTTACTTTCAGAGACTGTGTTTTGTGGCTTTTCCTGCAAAACTTGCCTTTTGGAGTGTTGAGGTATGTGACATCAGATGTATGAGATCCCATAGGTCCCTTTCCAGCTGCCTGGCAGGCTTGTGGAACTGAGTTTCTTCCCATTTTTTCTGCTCCAGGATACCCACAGCAGAAGCAAAACGTGTTGGGTAAAGAGCTGGGTTCTTCCCCTGTGTAAAAAGCAAATTCTTAATCTCTGAGGCTTATTCTTTTCTCAAAAAAAAAAGCTGTTGTAGGTGAAGTGGATCTGAGAGAGCTGCAAGTTTTTTTGTCACCAGCAAGGTTCCAGCCCCCTGTGCTGAGGAGGGGCAGGTTGTGCAGATAGGAGGTGGGAACAAGGGGGTGGAGGAGGGAGCCTCCTCCTTCTGAGCTGCTCTGCCCTTGGAAATGGAGGTGTTATTTTTGTTCTGTAAATAAAGGATTGCTCAAAGCCTGTTTCTTCTCGAGGTGCTGATGGAGAGGAGCAGCAGTCCTTCCTTCTCTTTCAGAGGTGAGAAGAGAAAGCAATTATAACTCCCTTTCTCTTTTGAAGATGCTGATAAAAGGAGGTGGGAGGATCAGAGGGTCCCTGTGCCAAAAGAGGAACAACTCCTGAGGTGATAGAAATACATGTTTTTATTTTAAACAAAGTAACTCCACTTCTGCTGCCTGCTGACTTTCAAAGGTGACCCAATTGCATGTAAAAAACTGCTGGGGGGAGGTGGAGGGGGGAGAAGAAACAGGGACCACAAGATAAAAAGCAGCTCTGTCTTCACTGTGTTACCTCCTTGAGATGCTGCCTGGCTCAGCCCTGGTGTCCAAGCCCAAAACCAGGGGCAGGCAGGAGGTGGGGACAGCTGAATGGTCCCTCTCAAGTGGTGGTTGCTCTTCAAAGTGGTCGTTGATCCCCCAGCAGTGAGGATCTTCTGCTGAGGACGTGGGCTGGGGGGGTCAGAGGCTTCATCCCACAGCTCTTGGCTTTTGCAGGTACCTCCTGGTTGGCTGCAAATAACTCTCTGCTAAAGGTGCCACCTTCTGGAGGAGGTTTTGGAAAGAAGCAATATCCAAGGTGTGTTTGAGCTCCCCAGGGGGGATAGAAGTTAATCCTCTTCCCTTCCAGTCTGTCTTTTCCCAAAAGCTTGACAAAGTGATATTTTTACACTGGGCCAATTGCTGTTCTCGTTCTAAAGTGTTGTTCTGACAAAAATGAGGAGCTTAGAGTGGGAGTGAACAATATCTGCACTTCTCACTGCAAGGGGAGAAGCTGTTCACCTTTTATCTGCTGGGTTTCTCCTTCCCCTTGGGCCTGGCCCCCACTGGATGTTTTTTCTTTCCAAATTACAGTGCTGAGTACCAGCATGAGCTTGAGCTCCAGATGTGTCCAGAGAAGGGCAACGGAGCTGGGGAAGGGTCTAGAGCCCAAGTGTGGGGAGGAGCAGCTGAGGGAGCTGGGGGTGCTGAGCCTGGAGCAAAGGAGGCTCAGGGGAGACCTTCTGGCTCTGCACAGCTCCTGACAGGAGCCTGGAGCCAGGGGGGGGTCGGGCTCTGCTCCCAAGGGACAAGGGACAGGACAAGAGGAAACAGCCTCAAGTTGCCCCAGGGGAGGTTTCAGTTGCCCCTGAGGAACAATT